CTGGGGTCAGAACTTTGCTGAAACATTCTGGGCAGCTAAAAAGGCTGGTAGTGTTGTTGTTGTTGTTGGTTGTTGTTATTTCGGGTAACTGTTTACGAAATATTTGAGCTATGCAACATCGACAAAAATTATGCAAACAAGGTAAAGTTTTCATGTCTGTCGAAAGGCGTTCCCTGCAGAGACCACAACTAAATAGCATGTTCGTGGCCAGTGTAAGTACCATTACGAAGTCAGTTGGGTATTTTTTTTTGTTGGTGGTGATGGTGGGTGTTGTTTTCCAGGAATTTAATGCCTTCAGCAGTAAAAAGAGATTCGGTTCGTTAGCCACAGGAAGGATCCAAGACAGTCTAAAAATAAAAACGGAAGAAAATAATTTTACTATAGAAAAGCATGTACAAATATACGAGAACATATATAGAAACACACGCATGCACTTCCGCTGCTGTCAAGGTCCTTATACGTCTTAACAAGACTGACACTGCCTGCTGTCCACCTATGCGATGGATAAAATGTCGTCTAAATTACGCAAAAAAGAAAATAACACTGATATTTCATTTTGACAGATATATTTACCATAGTTCCATAAAAATATCTTGAAAAACTAAAGAGTAAATTTATTCAATAAATCGCTAAACAGTTATGTGCCATGCGTGATACACGCTTAGACGATCATGAATCTTTCGATACATGACTGACGAGGCAGATTTTTCCCGTAGTAGGTTGCCATTGCTTTCTGCGGTAGACCAGTTTATTTACCCATAGCTGTGGGGAGAAGAAGACGATTCATACATTTTGCAAGTGTATTAGCACGTAAGTGAATGTAAGGGATTCGACTGGAGTTCGAACTCGCCTCTCCGATTCCTCAATCCGAGCCGCTAAGCCATTATTAATTCCAAAACAAATTTTCTACAATCTAAAAACTTTAAATAACCCGCAAAAGGTTGATAAGCCATAGAAAATGAAACAATGAATGACTGAATGAAACAGGAAACATAAGGGTTGATCTAGATGATGGCTGAATAGTCACCAAATTCAAATTGTGCCTCAAAAGTTATCAGTAGGTGGACCGACATGAACAGGATTTTAACACGGCAGAACTTAGGATATATACACATAAGACAATAACATGAAGTTATATACAGGGTGCGATGAATAAATTGTCATCTAAATTATGCAAAAATGAAAATAACTCAGACAGGTGATTTTATCAGATCTATTTACCAAAGTTCCACAAAAATATCTTGAAATACTAAAGAGTAAATTTATTCAATAAAATTGCTATTGGCTTCAACCACTGCCTCCAGACGACTTCGGAATCTCTTGCAACACTTCTGGACGAATGCTGCCATAATTGTTGCTTTCAGTTCATCTTTGGTGTTACAAGCAGTTTTGTTGGTCTGAGTTAGGTGGCCACATATAAGGAGTGATGTGGTCGAAAAATTGTCTGACAGCCATGACTGGGTTCCCCTGCTTGTCTGGCATGGTGCTGAATCCTGTTGCTAGACATAGAGTTTTCCAGCAGCCACCCTCTTGACCCAGGGCAGCATTACCTCCTCAAGGCACTTGATGTAGGCCCTGTGTCGAATCGGAGGCCCTATGGAAAGATGAATGCTGGCATAATGTCACAATCACTAGTAATCACTCCAAACACCATGATGATGATTAGATATATCATCCAACTCTTTCCGTATCCTCTGCACTGTCCTCAGATTGATTTCTGGTGGAGTGAATTGCGTCATAGTGCTCTTTTTCTCACGGACGGTGCTCAACTGACACTACCATAGGGTGCAGTCGACAAAATAAAAAAAAAACAAATAACATGGCTGCACGAAATTAAGAAATATAAAATGGCGGCAATTTATCAATCGCACCCTGCTTATACGTTTTAAAGAATTCGTAAAATTTCGGTCTTTAGAATTTGTGTAATAGCTTATAGCTTAGCTTAGTGCCATTTCAAAACAAGCGTAGACATATAGGAGCGTATAATATTGATTGATTTGACAGTTTAACGGCATATCAACAGCTTATGGGTCATTTAATGCCGACATTTAATTTTCTTAGAAGCTTAGAGGAATATAAGTATGATGTGCTAATTTGATTTCACAATTTGTGTATATACATGTTTGTGTGGGCATAATCCTCTCAATCTCTCTCTCAGTATATATATATATATATATATATATATATATATATATATATACATGTGTGTGTGTGTGTGTGTGTGTGTGTGTATGTATATGTATATATATATATATATATATATATATATATACGAGAACCTAATGTACAGCCAGTTAAATCAGGGCTACAGGAATGTAGGACGCCCATGTCTAAGATACAAAGACAAGCTGAAAAGCAACTTGTTAGCAGTCAATATACCACACAACACCCTTGAGCGCTTAGCCTTGGAGCGGGTAGAATGGAGATCAATGTGTTTTAGTGGATTCAGCAATTTTCAATCTGCTTGTCTGAATCATCTTCAAGAAGCGAGAGCAAGATC